ACACACACACACACACACACACACACACACACACACACACACACACACACACACACACACACACAATTCCTTTTAAGACTTCTGCTCTAATGAGATAGCATATCGAGTTTATGTGGAACAAAGGCCATTACGGTAGATTACACAGCGTATAGACCGACACACCACTGAGCTGCCAGGATACCTAAACTGCTGATCTGTAACAAAAAGGCTTTGTGGGAGAAGCATCATGACACGGTAAACTCTTCAATGGCACTTATCTCAGTTCACAGGCCTCTGAAACACACACACAATCACACACACACACACTGAACGCTGGTTGTGTAGAAGTGCATTACATACAGTAGATGAGGCTGACTACAGTGAATGGGGGTCACAGACACAGAACTCCACTCCACTTCAGCGCACTAGCTCTCTATCGATTGGCTGATCGCAAGCATGATGTCATTAGCTCCACCCCAGAGGCCGATGGGATGGCTCTTCTGTACAGTAATTCACAGGGGAGGGGTGGGTGTGCCCCCTCTGTACCCTTTTTAAAACTATTCTGCTCTTTTCATTTCTGTCCACTCCAGAACTCAGAACCTCTTGCTCAGCACAGTCGCTGCATCCCCCATCTTTTCCAATCACCATTTATCCCCTGGCTCTCTCACTTCAATCCATCCCTACTCCGTCCGTCTCCTCCAACAGCTCTGTCTCCCTCCCCTCCCCTCCCCTCCCTTTGGGTATACGCTCCACATTCAAAGACAGAGAGTCATGTGACGAGAGCTGGATCGATGCAAGCGCATCATCTTTTGCCATGCACTGTATAATGAGACTTGCATAACCCGCTTACATGCAACTGTCGCAGTCTGCCATTCTAGCTGTTCGTTACACAAATACAGTCTTAAAAAGATTTCAGTCAGGAGAACGGAGGGAGCCGGCTGCGAGATTTCCAGCAGCACACGATGGAGCGGCACGTACCAGGCAGTAATTTGATAACTTACTACAGTACAGGGGACCTCGTTTACTGCCATAAACACTGTGTATCAGCTTGAATGCTTTTACTGTTGTTGCTTTAGCGCTATGCATCAGGTCAGGTGTTTCCTTCTGCTGGAAATTGTTGCTCTAATGCACAGGCAAATAGGAGATCAGATGGCTCTTTCTCTCAACACATAATCCATTTTTCTCTTTTCCCGGTGGGTTTGTCACAACCTCGCTGGCCTTTCGCTGAGACAGACACAGACTCATAATATTATGGGTGTTATCTGTGGAGCAAACAGTATGCAGTCCTTTCTACACTAAGCATGTTAAATCCACTTTATGTAATCTTTATCTTATATCCCTGAAATCTGCAGAGTAAAGCCTTTTCTCTCCCCGCTCGCTGGAGAGGAATTATTCGATTTTAAAAGAATGTCTGGACATTATAATAAAGCCTGCTATTCATGAAATACTGTTATTCATTGTCTCCATCATATTGAGTGTGTTTTTTTATTTTATCAGCTAAAATAAAAATTGATAATCCTTCAGACAAAAAAAAATGTTGAAATAATGAAAGCCATTACAAATGACCAGAGCTCAAATCCTTTCAAATCTAATTTATTTAGCCACACTAGTGTCGTCACTCTAAAGATGGCTACGTCAACACATATTGGATGGATTGCCAGAAAATGTGGTACCGATATTCATGGAGCACAGAGGATGAATCCTAAAGACTTTGGTGATCCCCTAATTCTTATTGTAGTGCCACCCAGCAGGTCGCTCATCCTGAAAAAGACATTCATGGTTACCAGATGATACATCATAATAACTTTGACGTTTCCTGTAGCGCCAACATGAGATGGACAGTTTTGGTTTTGAGTGAAATGTCTCAACAACCATCGGTTGGATTGTCATAAAATTTAGTTCCCAACAGGATGAAACGTAAGAACTTTTTGTGATCCCTAAACATTTCATCCACTGCCTTCGTCAGGTCAAATGTGACTGAGGATATTTGGTATTAGTGTCCAAATAGCAAATGTGTTTGAGGATAAATTGCAAATGGTAGCATGCTTACAACATAAACCCTAATAGTGAACAAGGTAAATATTTACCTGTGAAACATCCGCATAGCATCCGTTAGCATTGTCACTGTGGAATGTTAGCATGCTGACGTTAGCATTCAGCTCAAAGCACTGCTGCGTACAGCCTCACAGCATCCTGTGGATGTAAAGTCTTCGTCTTGTATAGTTATACAAAACATAAAAGAAAGAATCGGGAAATTTGTGAAGCTGTGCACAGCAGGATTAAACTGATTAACTGATTAAAGTTCAATCACAGCTTATTGCGTGTCTTTAATTATTTGATTGACTGAACAATTGTTTTGGAATTACCGTTTGTGTGTGAGTACGAGTGTACATTTTCTCTGTGCCGGGTGTGTGTCTGAGACAGAAATAAACATGTGTTTTGCTTTGTTTGTATTACACAAGCTTGTCAGTATGTTTTCATGCATGCAAATTCACGTGCACCTCTGGAGACAAAGACAAAACAAAAAAAAATCTAAATATTTGTTATTGCATAGAGACCCTTTCACAGCTTGTACACATCCTCACAGTCTTCAGTCTAATGATTCCCTGATGCTGTGAAACCATAGGATGTCAAAGGGATGCTGCGTATGCTGAACTGTGTCCCAGTAGGAGGGAGGCTTTAAATGAAAAGGTCACATGTCATCCACCTGTTAAAGAGCAGATGCCACATCAGAGCAATACTTGGCAGGAGGAGCAGGTATCGTTATTGGGCACACGAGACGCGCTTGGCCCGGGCGCAGGTATGGCTATACTGCTCACACACATGAACTCGCAGGCACACGCGTCTCTCTCTCCCACATTCACAGACCAATGCACACACACACACACACACACACACACACACACACACACACACACACACACACACACACACAGGATGTCCGACCCCTCTCTCTGGGAATGAAAGATATGGGCAGAGAATAGTGACAGAATGATCACACTGGCTACACAAAAGCCATGACTGTTGATGATGTATAAAGGTCGGCGCTGTTGTCATGGGACTCCACTTACACAAGACTGAGCCTTCTATCAGACCAGGAGACATTTGTCAGGCCACTGCTCTGACTCTTCAGTGGTGACAATAAAGTCCTGAGGATGTTCGCCCTGTTTTAGGTGTGTACACAGTATACACACCCACATGCACATGCAGAAGCATGAATGAACACATACGTACATAAGCACAGTACCTGGAAGCTGCTATTTCCACTTTACTCCTGGCAATGGCTGCAGCCCTCTGTGCCGCCTCAACAGCCCGGTCCACCTTCTCTTTGGTTTTGGGGTTCTTAAGCGGAATCAACTGCTTCCTTATTCCACGCACCAGCACGTTATTTTTGTACTTCCCTTCTTCTTTGGTGCCATCTGGGAAAACTGTGCACCCGTAACCATGGCGCTTGTTGTTAAGCCACTCTCCCTCGTACTTCATCCCATTGGATCTCTCTGAAACGCCAAATCCATTGCGCTTGTCGTTCTTCCATTCCCCCATGTAGGTCTCAGTGGTGGTGGCATCCACATGGTCCTCGAGAGGCAGGTCCTCGTCTGGCAGCTCGCCATCGCCGATGGATATGGTAGAGTTGGCGTCGCTGGAGCTGATGCGGCTCATGGCGGCATCACTGCGCGCTGAGCTGCGCTTGCTGGAGATTGAGGTCCGAGAGTCAGACTTGCGCAGCTGTCGAAGGCTGCCAAAGAGTGAGCCTCGGCGGAACAGGCCCTTCTTCTTACCGGTGACAACCTCGCTGTCTGAGTGGAAGTTCAGGACGAAGCCACCACGACTGCCTGTCGGCATGTCTGCGGGAGAGGAGAGGTCCTGGAGCACTGTGCCGTTGCTCTGCTCAGAGCGCAGGGAGGCCAGAGACGTGCGGAGAGGAGAGCGGATGACTGTGGCCATGCCATAGGGAACACTCTGACGCACTCCATAGCCGTGTCGCATCCCACCCATCCACTGGCCTTGATAGGTACCTGAAGAACCAAGAGAGATCAGAGTCACTGAATCAGATTAGCTACAACTACTGCTGCTACATCAGATCCTAGTGGGTCCCAACTGTTTTACCACTGCTGAATAGGATGAAACAATGCAACGCGGTGTTGAAATGTACTTTAATACAAAAATGGCGTCTTCTACATATGATGTTTAAAAATTGTATTGCTTTTACAGTCCCTAATTTGAAATCCTGTATTTACCAAGTAAATATTTTTGCTTTGTTTGTTTAAATCAAGACTCATTCTCTGAAAAACTCTCTCTATTACCCATCAAATCCAAGAAGAGACAGTTAGCCTCAGCTGGTATGATAGAAAAGTGGTCTCGCAATGATTTTAAGAAGCAATGCTGCTTGTGTGTGTGTGTTTGCTTGTGTCTTAACGGGTCCACTTTATCTAAACACAATCTAAAGTGCTCATCTATGATTAAGTCCTTAAGGGGAGTGTTTGCACCAACACTGATGATAACAGAAGAGTATTATAAGATATGTATGTCTGGATAACATTTACCGTCATAGTTACAGTGAGTTTGGATTTATCTTGGTTCTAGTGGGGACAGCAACAAGAAGGTTTATCTGCTTCCTCTGCAATTTTCTGGCCAGATATTCTCTATATCAGCGTTACACGTGGGAGCACAGAGGAGCCTTGCTGTAGGGGTGCAGAGTATGTCAGCTAATGAAATGTTTTCTCTCCTTCCCCTCAGATCTGGGACTGTGAGCATAACTAACTCAATCACAGAGATTTGATTAAGGCACTGATACCGAGGATCACTTGGGATGAATGTGAATCACTCAGCTAGGAGCCTATTTTCAGGCGGCCAATAACTCCCCCACTGACAGTAGGCACATTCACCACCATCCGTTTGTCTCTGACGACAGGGAGTTGCTATGAGTCACAGAATGAGAGGAATACTTCATTAATCCCATTTGGGTGCTGCTGAGCCCAAAGAGCATGTGATGTCCTACAGTAGCTTCTTCAGAGCATCATATTGCAATACTGATCCTAATAATAAGAAAGGCTTGTTAAGCCAGCACTCGAATCTCATTGACCGATACAATTAGATAAGCCATAATGGTCAGATTCTAAGAGAAAATGATATACCAGCCCGGGCAGGAATTTAGATGGATAAACAGTGTGAGATTAACAGGCTGGCTCTGCACTACAGTTGAAATCGCTGACCCTGCAGATCAAGTTATCAGGATGTTGCAGGGTCAGACGGCCAGATGTTCTGTAGATCCTAGGATCAGCTGGTTTCCCAAGCCTAGCCCTCTGTAATCATCAATTGAGAGGCATGTATTCTGCACCGTATGGCCGCCGTTAGTGGAGATGATGCTCACACATGTTTCACGTGTTTCATAACCAGAAAGGACCGCCTGTAAGAGGCCTTCTGCATTGCTTGCAAGCACTTGTGTTTGTGGGCCTGTCAGGATGTTTCCTCCGTGATCACACAGGTCTCCAGACAATCTGTGAACACACCCCTGATTAGTGAGATCAAAGCTCTGACAAGGCGGCTTGCACTGACCTCTCACTTTCAAAGTCCAAAAGAATGTCTTGTGTATGACTTGGCTTGAAGGCATTTGTGCATTTCCAATTCATAAAGTTGATTAGAAAATGTATCCAAGGTGGAAAAACATTTTCATTATTTCTTCTTTTAAACGTGTCAGGTTTAAATTAACTGCATTAAAAGTAGCACTTTAAAAAAAAAAGAAGTTAATTTTCATCGGGAAAGCTGGCATTTATGCAAAAGATATACCTGAGGAAGAGGTGTGTTATTCACGTTAGGAGTGGTAAAGAAGTAGGTGATCGACTGGCTATAAATGGCACCAAACAGACTGCTTTCCTCTGATTTCCAAACTCCATCTAGCCGGGGCATGGTGCCACTGAGCTGGCAACAGGAGTCACTCTCCTCCCACAGTCATATGAGGAGCAACCGGTAGTTGCCAAATGAGATGTGCATTTGGAATAAGAGGGGAACTATCAACCTGCTGTATCCAGCAAGTTAACATCACAAGCGTGATAAGTCATTGTTTTTTTGGGGGGTGTAAATGGTGCGCGCTGACCACGGTGCGCAGTGCGCAATATCAGCTTCAACTCAGATCATATCAGATGGAGATTCATGCACTGGTGTATTTCCAATAGCCTCCATTAGTTTCAGTCTGAGCATCCTCACACACACACACACACACACGCACGCACGCACAGGCTATAAAGCGCATCATCAGACACGGCCGTTAAAGCGACACTACACGCTAAACAAACACTGGGCCATGTTTACAAGACAGGGTTTCTTACCGCCATCGCCATAGGTTTCGATCCCATATCCATCCTGCAGCCCGTTGCTCCAGGTGCCGTCGTATCTCGCGGGCGTGTTGTGGCTTTGCCGGATACCGTAACGACCCTTAAAACCGTGACTCCACTCTCCGCGGTACATCCACTTCCCTTTATTCTCCACGCCGAGCCCGTGCCGCTTCCCCTGGGACCAGTAGCCCCTGTAGGTATTCCCGCTGGGCCAGGTGTACACCCCCACTATCTCAAAGCCGTGCGACCAGGACCCGGCGTACTCGCCCTGGCCCTTGGGTCCGGTGCAGATGCCGTGTCCGTGGGCTTTGCCATCCTCCCACCCCCCGCAGTAAGTGCCACCGTCGTCGAAGTCAAACCTTCCGCCCGTCATTCAGATATAGGCTGAAAATAAAGCAGATCGTGCGCTGCTGCAGACTCAGGCGTCTCCAGGACCGTGGTTTGGGGGATCCAGGACCGGTGGTGTGATGAAAGGATGAGCCAACGAGATGATGACTAAAGAAACATAGAATAGCAGGGTGAGGATAGTAGGCTGGTACTTCCAGACACTGACATGCAATAGAAAAGGCATGCGTAACGGTAAGTGGAAAGGTATGAATGGTGGGCGTCATTTACCGGAGGCGCACGGCGGATTCTCCGTTCTGTGTCGCTCGTCTCCCCCCTCTCACCCACTGATCACAGAGGGAGAGAGAGGCGTCGAGTCCCTGCTGAGGAAAGACACTGGGCCAATCGTAACGTCAAGCCACAGGGACCTCCCACTCTCCCATCTCTCCCTCTCTCTCCCTCTCTATCTCTCTCTCTCAGTAAAGAGTCTGGACTCCCCTAAACCTCTACAGCCAAACTGCTACACATTTGAAAGACGTCTCACTTTACACATATCTGAATACCCACATTACTATTTCCCATTGCACCCATGGAATTGTACCAATTGTCTGTTATTATCATTAGTGAGTTTAGGATTATACTTGTTTATCTAACAGCCTAGTTACACAATACTATCAAATACTATGACCTACTTTATGAGACTTAAAATATAAGCTATATATACATGTATATGCAGGCTAAGTATTTTAGAGAACATTTGTAATAGCTGTATTATTATTTGATTGTATACTCTATGCTATATATTTCTCAAATTATTAATTCATTCATTTAATAGTGTCTTATTACTACTGTTATATATATATATATATATATATATCAGAGCTTAAACACAGTTATTGTTTGAAGTGGGTGGATGGGAGAAGTGTTTTTGGTAATGATTGCAACGACCCATGTGACTTCAAAATGACTCCACAAAAAAAATAAAACATTTGTCAGAAACATAATTTTTGTCAATGAATCAGGTAGGTCATTTCACCTCTAAAACTGATATCAAATATATGTGACACTTATCACTTTCTGCATTGGGCTGACCAAAAACAAGTTGTGTCCACCAACAGCTTAGACATTGAAGGAATAGATAACAGCGACCTCTGCTGTCCGAATGCTTTTATTGCATTGCTGGAACGATATGATCGAGTTAAGTGTAACCATTTGCTGCCTTCATTTCTTACATTGTGAATTTGTGGACCTATTTCGTTTAAAGCCTTGTATTTCTTGGTAATAATGTTTGCATGCATATGAAACATTAGAACATTTGAATGGCCTATGGGTGAAATATACTGTAGCCTACTACTCCTAAAACTTCTACTACTTCCGGAACTGATAGCAACAACATGTAGCCCTCGATGACAAAGAGAAGGAGAGAGAAATGAAGGAGGAAGAAAAATAACAAGATGGGGAAGAACATGTGTAAACTGTAAACATATAAATAGCCTCGAAATTCTATCAAATTGAAGAAGATGATTAATGTTCCACTCCGAGCCAGGAGGGGGCGCATGATTTAAGTGTTGACTGTGATAAGGTGTGCTGCCCTCACTTGTCCCCCTAACATACTAACAGATAAAATGGCGTCGGAAAACAGACCGGAATCCCAAGATGAGAAAACGGCTCTTATAGAGAAGGACCCAGAACAAGATGTACATCAAGAATGTGGCACAACCGCAAAACAAAGGGAATCAAAACTTACGCTTTATCACTGGACGCAGTCTTTCAATTCTCAGAAGGTGAGCGTATTTACGTTTCAGCACCACAGTCCAGTGGACAGCTCCTCACCACAGATTTGAATAGACGTCCAGACAAATCTTTCTAATGTTATGTTTGTCATGAAGTCAGTGAATATTTAGCAAATCCAGTTGCCTGTGGACACTGCCATTACATCTGTTGCTAAAAGGTGTATTTTAATGCAAAATTGTATCTTTCATTTGGTCACAACTGGACGAAAACCTGGAATTAAAAGTGCCTTTTATGATCATTCTTCTATATTCCTCCAAAGAATAGTGCCTTACTTATAGAAAGTATCTGATCGTTATTTATAGTACCACAAGTAGATGTCTAAATTTGTTTTTCAGGTGCGTCTGGCTATAGCAGAGAAAGGTTTGCTCTGTGAGCAGTATGACGTGAGCCTTCCTCTCAGTGAACATAACGAGCCCTGGTTCATGCATCTGAATCCCACTGGTGAGGTGCCAGTTCTGGTCCACAATGACGACATCATCTGTGACCCAACTCAGATCATGGACTACCTGGAGCAGAGTTTCAATGACGGTGAGACTAAATAAAGACTTTGTGGTAACTGTTTTGATGCATTATAGCAGAGCTGGATAGGTACAAGGCGCGCTCCATTCAACAGACGTTACTACTTGTTTTCATACATTGTTTTCTTCTTTCAGTATTTATGTTTAATCTTTGATTTCAAATCAAAGATTTGTTTTAATTTGTCATAAATTTCATATTGATTTTTCGATCTTTCATTCCATATATTGTTCTTTTAATTTTCCATTTTTTCTTTGTTTGCACTGATCCATGATACCTTTGTTCTAAGAGTCTCATCAAGTCGCCTTAAAAGGAGAGAAAACCTGGTAAGCATGCAACTATTCAAGCTAATAAAAAATGATGTTTAAATACCTACCGTTTTTCCAACTTTTCCCAACCCTTGCGTAGTAGTTCCAAGGCAAGCTTGCGGTGTATAAAACCACTTTGATTCTCTTCTGAGAAAAGTTGTAAGGAAACGAAGTGACAGCATTGCTCCTTCCTTTTGATGACTTGTTTGTCTCCAGGCACACCCAAGCTGATCCCTGAAGAGGGCAGTACATACTACCTCAGAGTGCAGCACTACAGAGAGCTGCTGGACTCACTACAGATGGATGCCTACACCCATGGCTGCATCCTTCACCCTGAGATCACAATGGACTCGCACATACCAGCATATGCTGCCAACTGTATACGAAGTAAGACTCACTGTGATGCTTTTGAGTAGTGTTATACAGCTTTGGTCCTACAGCAATTATGCACATAACAGTGTCCAATTTGCCAAATTCACCTTCTGTTGTACTCAATGAGACCCCTTGTTGCACATTTGGAATAATTCTACAGAGACCTCACACTGTGCCAAGATGGTATCATGAAAGAGTATTTTTTTAGAGTACATACTGCTCAATCTACTCAAATTCCAAATGTGCTATTTAATTAAACACCTTTAATTCTTGTCTGCAAGAAAGACACACACCAGCACACATCTGATATTAGCAGACTTTTCTCTAAAAGTCTTAAAAGTGTCTCTAACATGATGCTGTGTTTTTGTGTGACAGCACAGATCGGAAACACGCAGTCGGAGCTGAAGAAGCTGGCAGAGCAGAACCCAGAGCTTAAAGATGCTTATATAGCAAAACAGAGGCGGTTGAAAGTAAGTTATTCAAGTTAGCAGAGCGCCAAGTCAGCAAAACTGTTGTTTTTTTGTGATTCCCCCTGGACTACGACACAGAGGCCCCCCCACGGGGCGATGGGGGGGGGGGGGGGGGGGGCCTTTTACTAGTGAAATCCATGTGTTTTGATGTGGCCACCTACATTTAACTGTATTAAATTGTACATTCATGTATAGTATTAATTTAACTAATAGTATCTGCACCTGCAGACAACTGTAAATAACCAAAACATTTTTTATTTTCTTTAACAAACTATAGCTGAAAGAGTGCAGTATTGGTTTTTGTATTAGTATTATGTCGATTTTATGGCAAATTATTTGTAGGCAAACTAACCAGCCTAAAAGGCATAAACTGAAGGCATAGTAACGTAGTAATGTGTCAAGCAGTTTGGCGGCCTGTACAATTCTAAAATGTGTCATAAGGTAAATGTGCACAAATGCATTTCTATATGAAAACGTTTTTGCAGTCCAAGTTGTTTGACCATGACAACATGAAGCACCTGAAGAAGCTTCTGGATGAATTGGAGGGTGTGATGGACCAGGTCGAGACAGAGCTACAGAGGAGGGTGGAGGAAACACCAGGTAGACGCCCACAATAGCTCATCTCTTATCAACCAATTTACCATTCAGAGACAAACAATAAACTACACAATTACATTTTATGACTGTGTTAATATTAACAGTCAAAATTCAATGGCAGTAGCGTTTTGAATATCATGTTATCTGTTGCCTTTTGTACTTCTTGCCTCCTTGTCTTCCACTTGTAGAAGAAGGTCAGTCCTGGCTGTGTGGGGATTTCTTCAGCATGGCCGACGTCTCTCTGGCAGTCACCTTGCACCGCCTCAAGTTCCTCGGCCTCTCCCGCCGCTTCTGGGGCGACGGTAACCGTGTGAACCTGGAGACATACTACGAGCGTGTGGTGGAGCGCCCAGCCTTCAGGAGAGTGCTTGGCCATGTCAACAACATCCTAATCTCTGCTGTTCTTCCTGTGGCGTTTCGCGTGGCCAGGAAGAATGCACCGGTTATTCTTGGCACCACCCTGTTGATTGGTGTTCTAGGTGGAGCTACGTACCTCGCTTTTCTTTACATGAAGAAGAGGCTGACTGTGTCCTTCTGAGGGAGTGTTTGAGTTGCTGTGGGACTGAAAGGTAGATAAACGCAGAACAATTGTCGCCAAAATCATTAAAAAAATTGTGTAAAGTGAAAGTATATTGCACAAAATGCGCTTCCCCCCCCATTCTCAATGCACAACTGCTGCATTACACATAAAAGGATAACAATGGTAGTTATTCATGTTTTTGCCATTTTTCTTAAATCACATATAACATACACATGGCTTTGAAGCTCTACATACGAAGAGTCAGATTCCAACCAGAATTGTATTCACAAGCTATGTTATTGTAACAAGTATGAATAAATTAGATGTTAAAAGATGAAAAATTATAAAATGAAAGTTGTCTGACTGTCTTTTGGACCCATATAATCAAATAAAATAAGGTAGAACTTTATTTCTCCCAAGTGACATTAAGGATAGCAGCAGTTGCAGAAGAAAGTAGGAAAGAGTGCAAATATAAATATACATTAAATAAAATCTACAAACTATAAAATCTATAGAACATATATTTGTAAAAAGAGCGCATGTACCATTCCTCTCTGAAAAAAAGTGATAATACATGTCCAAATATTTGAACCTTTGACTGTAAGCCATGCAATTGTAGCATAACTTTGAGACAGTTCAAGCAGCGTCTCATACTGTATGTCTACTGTCATTCTCCAGTACCAACATAATGCAGACAGGATCTGATTTTAAGGAAAACCCCCAGCATGGTCAGACATCTTTACGTGAACTTAAATCACTATGAGCCTATGTTTTGCCCAATATGTTCTTTTCTTAATTTATTATTTGAATAGAGTCCATATCTGCCTGTTAGAAATGAAAGTACATTAGAAGCCCACCGCCTGCTTTCTGTGACCCAGTCTGTCAGCATATAACAAACTGATCAGCTCAGCAGTTAACACACTGTCAAATGCAGACACAAGTTTAATTGTACAAACGCTCTGTGGGGTCTTCCTGTTATCTCACATGCACCGACGTTTTACTGTATTACTTATATGATTGTTTGAAATATTCTCTATGTAACAATATCTGAATTGATGCTTTTGCAATGTCAATTACATCTTCTTCAGACCATCATATTCAAAATCTGTGTGAAATTAAACTACTCACAAACAACCTGCAGTTTCCTCTTATTCGAATATAATTGAGAACGACAGAAAAAAATCAGTGTCATTTAGCAGACTATCATATAGGTCTTGAACATTTTAGGATTCTCACATTTTAGGGAAACACCTGAGAGACTAATCACATTCCCAGGGTCTGGATGTAAATCAACATCTTCAGTAATTTGGTCGCCCAGTCAGAACAACACTGACATTTATTAACATAAGCTCAGCTTTGATTTGAAGTCCTCCTCACGTGAGCTTGGCTTCACACAACACAGGCACACGCTAGAGCTTTCAACAAAGTCTGGCCTCTGTCTTTAGTGTCCAGAGGGCTGGGTAGTGTAGCTGTCAAAGAAATGCCTCACACGTGTTAAAGCCACATGCGAGCCAAGCTGTCAAAGGACCATAACCTCATACTAGTGTGTTAGCTCTGGAAAAGCCAACCCCTGCAAATGGCAACCAAAATTACACAATTGTTTGCCACAAAGCTATATCACAAAGGTGCCATTTTAATGGATAAGGGTCAAAGTCATTAAGGAAGTTTTACTATGACTTATTCATGACTTTATTCGACATGCTATACCATGACTTTTATAACTTTATTCAACATACTATACTTTGAATTTTTCTGAATGCTAATAATGAAATACGCCAAAGGCCCTCCTCTCACCACACCATCAGTGTGCCTCCACTTACAACGTACAGTATGAGAGAAATGGATGCCACAGTGAAGCCATTTAGTGTGAATGTGAACATGTGTCTTGTAAACCAGGTCTATTTCATTAAAAATGATCAGCGCCCCCGCTCTCTCACCCCCCATCCCCATCGCCTTTCTGTTCAGTGGTCTCTCCCCAGTGTTGGACCGCTGGAACTTGCCTGTCGCAGTGTTTCCCTTCATCATTGTCCTCTACGTCCTTTGTACCAGCCCAGACAACCCTTACTTCCCATACCACCCCGCTACGCCACCGGGGCTGCCGGAGCACAATGGCACCGAAATCATTGTAGTAGAGGTGAGGCGTTCCAACGTTTAATTAAATGTTTGTGGATAGGTTGAGTTATACTACACGGAAGCCAGGAGGTTGCTGTTCAAAAGCAGACTCTTAAATCATGATTGTCTCTCAGATCTTGAAGCTTGGTCAAACTTCCAAAATCAACACAAGGATTGTTTTCCTACTATATTTTCGAGACCAACCTTCTTATGATTGCAAATTAGTTTGAAATAAAACAACATACATAACATAAAACACAACAAATATGAGAACTGAAACAAACGGGAGATAATTGACACACTTATACAGGCAGGCAAAGGTTGTTCAATCAGGAGAAACTTAATTTACAGTAAAAAAAAATACATTTATTAAATTGTGCAAAGTAAAGATTTTGGAGAGTCGACACTGGTGGGGGCGTTGAAGACAGTAGGGGCAGGTTGAAGATCTAGACGATGGCATGTGGAGTGCGACTGAGCTCAGTAGGAGAAACCTTGAGCACCGGATGTGATGATGAATGAGGAGGAGGGTCACATCGGTTCTGAAATGACAACTGACTGCAGAGAAGAGAACAGGTCTTTAAAGTTTGACAGAAGATATATGATTGGCTGAGGGAGGCCGTGGCGAAATCGCCCACTGTCAGCTGATAGAGTAGGAGCCAGAGAGAGTTGTGAGTGAATGAGAGCATACAAACACTGTCCTAATGTTACAGGTCAGATATGCTACTGGTTTACACGACAGGTGTTTTGGTATCCGTAAATAGCCATTAGTCTCTGTTTTTGAACTCTACTGCAACGCTTCGTCTTGGACTTGTTTGCTTACCTGTTGCACCTGCTCTCCACTGCTACCGTCTACTCCCTGAACAACTAGCTAGCTAGCTGGCGGACTCTCGCTAGCCGGCGGCTACCGACGAGCCAGCCGGCTCCCTGCTGGATACTCGTGTCCATGCTCCTTGCTCCTGCCCTGAGGCGGGTTGCCTGGATAGCCTCTCAACTGTCCTGGTGCGGTCAGTCTGACTGCTGCTTCTTCAGCTAGCTGTTAGCTAGCCGCCCTCCAGTCCGCGTGTAGCTAACGTTGGCAGCTGACTGAACTGCCTCCTCCGTTTCCTCGCCTCATCCATCACCACTTTTTCACTCAGCTCCGATCTCCGGCCTGTTATGGATTATCCTGACGTGCCTGTCACTTCTCCAACTCCGGTCATCAGGTCCGTGGCTACCGACAAAAGACCTCAGGCTGGCATGGTTCTGCAATACTCCACCTCGCAACTCCTCCAACTCAACAACTTCTCTGCTCCTCCGTGTATCTCAGCCATTTAAACGCTTGGGCTCCTCCGTCGGCCCCGGTGCATCCGCGGAGCCTCCCGCAGAAAGTTTGTTTGCTCCTGGCCTGATCGCTCCACTCTTCCATCCCCTCCCTCTGGTCAGCCGAGCACACTATGAACACATCACACAGCACCCTACCTTCCCATTCCGCACAGCTTCTCCAGTTATTCTTTTTTTTTTACCAAAGTGTTTTGTTTGTTTGTTCTGTTTGTCTTTGCCCTGTAAAGCGTCTTTGGGTATCTTGAAAAGCGCTATAGAAAATCGATGTCACCATGCAGAACTCAAGAGTCCTCCTCACCGTCAGCATTGGCTCCGAGAAGCCACACACATGTTCCATCCAGCATTCTGTTCTGTTCTGTTCTCAAGGGCAGATAATGTCTCCTTTTATGAATCCACTATTTGCTAGTCCCATTATAACCCATTAGCAGTAATGACATAACACCGTATATTACAAAACAAATATTTTTGTCTATTGCTCTGCAGATTGCAGATATTTTAAATCATACATACAACAAAACTGTTAAACTGTTGCAAATAACTCCACAAATGATCCTTTTAACATTGTTAAACTGTCTGTTTGCAAATTCATATTCTGCTAATACTGTATATTGCATCCCATGTATTGTATGGTAACTCTATCCACACCCAAATCTCACCTGCACCCAGCGTCGGAAATACACGAGGGCAAAACTGCCCCTAAGAAATATCATTTTGCCCCTGATATCACTAGGAGAAGGGCAAAAAATGCCCCTGAACTTTCTAAACGAATAAATAAATGGAGCGCTTCTTAATCAGACCTGTGACTGCGGTCAACTCAGCAGACACTTACACTTTAGTGCACCTATATCCTGAAATTCACGGTAAAGTCATTCAAACGGCGCAAATCGGGAGCGAGCGAAGGACTTTGAAAGTAAACGGAAAGATTAACGTGAGACAACATCCGGTTTCTTCAGACGAACATCCGGTTTTCAGAATAAGATGCCAACAAAGTATACATGTTGCATAATGGAAATTAAATTAATTATATTCACATTAAGTATAAAACATGCTACCTGCACCTCGTGAGTTAAAGGGAAATTAAGTCAGTCTATTAAGATATTTTACTAAGTAAAAACTCTGAACTGAATTTGTCCCTTCAAATGGCACATTTTTTAAAATTTAAGGTGCTATAAAAATGTTTTTCTCAAAAATTCCACACAATGGCTAATGCATAACTTCAGGACAAAAATGGGTAATATCACAATATTTGAGGTGATACAAAAAATTTTTTTCTGAATAATTCCATACAATGACTGATGTATATGTAATCAAGGCATCGTTGACTTAATAATTGTTAATAGTTGTTTAAAACATTTAATAATAACAATAAATAACCACAAAGAAATAAGAATAGAATTGAATATGATTGTCTGATTTACGTTTGGTTTTTGTTCAAAAAATCTAAGAAAACACTTTGAATCTGTAGACTACTGCCTAATAGTCTTATTATTGCCATTTGATGACAATTGCTCATATACTGTAAGCCTAAATAAGTATATTTATTATTTTGAACAAATGTTAAATGTTATTTCACAAGTTTCAAAAAGTGCCCCTGGATTTCAGTCAGTGGGGGCAAAAGTTGCCCCCCAAAAAATATGTAAATTTCCTACCCTGCCTGCACCTGAGTTTGGGAATTAGTCAGTTGATGGATTTAAGACCTTAAAACTGTTTTGAACTCAATTATTTGGTGGATAATAGTTATTAAGGCAAATAATAAGTCTTTCTACTAATTATTTTTTGTTTGCATAGCACGTTTCACTGCTCTGATTGGACGAAACCCAATTTGCATTTTACTATGACTTTTTTCGACACGCTAAACTGACTTTGTTATGACTTTATTCCACAAGGTACACTATGACTTTTTTATGACTATCCGACATAATCCATGACTTTTGACAAAGCATCTGGTCCCCAACCTTTTTTGCACCACGGACCGGTTTCATGTAAGACAATATTTTCACGGACCCGGCATTCAAGGTGTGGCGGAAAAACACGACGAAATAAAATGATACGATCGGCATGAAAACAAATATAAAATGCATAAATAAATACAACTCACAATAACGCTGAATCAGTGGGAGCCCTGAGCTTGTTTCTCTGCAACGAGACGGTCCCATCTGGGGGTAATGGGAGACAATGACACCCGAAGTGTGTTCCTGTTGTCCAGTCTACTCCGTCATTTTGTTTTGATTGCCGTCACTGCAGAACATCCCGCTTCACAAAGAGGATGTGTGAAATGGAAGCAGGGTTTTCAGTGCTTCAGTGGTGATCTCAAGATATTCAGCCTTGATTTTAATCCAAAACACCAGCAGAGTTGTTGTCTCAAACATACATTGAAGGCCACCGTCATTTGCAATCTCCAGCAGCTGATCTTCCTCTGTTTCCACATATTCTGCAGAGCGGGTTTGGCGCATCAGAATTACTCCTGATATTTAATTAAACTCCTGATATTGTCTGTTAAATTAAGCTTTCTTTTTCTTGGAAGTTGTAGGCTCTTCTTCTGTCTCCTTAGTGGACCTTGTCCCCTTTGCAAAGAAGCTCTCCAAAAGTTATTTACTCATTTTCGCTAGTTTGCGGGCTTAATTTTTGAGGTAACGTATCACGTGACCCAGACAAAGCGTCTTGACATGCGTGTCAAGAGGCACAGGCGGATGAAATTGCGA